AGAGAGAGAGGAGTGAATATATCAGACAGAGCCTGCAGAGGAACTGAGCACGACTCATGCCAAGTGCATTCAGAAACAGCTGCAGACAGACAGACAGACACCTGCAGAGAGAGGGCCTGTTAGTCCGTCCTCCAAGCTGGAGTTATAAGCATTACTATAGATGTTAACTCTCTATCTTGGTTAAATCAGTGCACCTGTGTATGTGTGTGTGTGTGTGTGTGTGTGTGTGTGTGTGTGTGTGTGTGTGTGTGTGTGTTGTATGTCTGGGGCTTTAAAGATCTGATCCCCAAGGCTGGGGTAGGAACCCAGTTAGGGAAGAAAGTACCTCCAGGCTGTGGAGTTCCAGGCTGCAGCGCAGAGGCTCTAAGTGGGCTCTTGCACTCGGGTGGGGGCCTGATGGGAACTGGGCGCTTGTGCATCAGGGAGGGTGGTGAGATGGAGCAAAGAAACTGGGGTTCTGTGCCATGTCCTGGGTTCAGAGGCAGTTTTAAAGCCAATCAGCCGGGGTGGGGGTGAGGGTGGGACCTGCTAGGGGAGCCCATCAGAAGCTCAAAAGGGAGAGAGTTGGGCAAGGAAGACCTGGGCTTGAAGTGTCTAGCCTCCCTGATCCAGCACTGCTCCTGCCCTCCTACTGACTGGTGCATCCTTTCTCTCTGCCTTGGGCAGGGGGTTAGAGTTCTGTAGCCATTCTCTCTCCTCCAGGCCTCCTCCCATGCTCGGCTGTGAACCCCCTTTCCTAGCCTTCCTGCTAGGGCTAATTCCTGCCCCGGAAGGAAGGTAATTCCTTATCTTCTTGCCCTCACCCTGGGAAACACAAGCAGCAAACTGAGCATTTCTGGTGCAGTCTCTGGTGATACTCCTCAGGAGGACGGCTCCCAGTGACAGCTCTGGGTACAGGACAGGGCCTGTCATGGTTGGAAGGAGGCTGGGATCCTATGTCTTCCTTTGAAGTGCAGGCTTTTTCCTAAGGCCTAGAAATGTGAGCAGCTGGAGAGGGTGAGCAGGGAGCATTGAAAGGCCAGGCTGTGTGGGATGAGAGGATGCAGGAAGGGAATACGGGATGCAGATGGGAGGTGGGGATGCTCTAAGACCCCGTGGCCCTGATTTGGCTCAAGAGAGAGCCTTTTTCTCATACTCCCTCCTGCTTCAAAGTAAAATCAAGAGCTCAGGGCTTCTGGCTTCCAACAGCCAGCCTGAAGGGTGGAGCAAGTCTGTTCTTTTTAATCTTGCTTTCCTCGTTGTTTGGGTGGGGTGGGGGGGCTGTGTAGAAACTTCCAAGCTCCCAGCCTGGGGGTGGGGGTATCTACTCAGGGACAACTGAGAATAGATATTGGAAGTAGAATTGCTTCCAAAAAGTCCCCTGGCCTGAGGCTTGGATGAGCACAGTGACTGACCCTAGAGGAGTCACACTCTGATGGGAGAGGCTACCAGACAAGGGCAGAGAAATGGAGCAAAGAAACACACACACACACACACACACACACACACACACAGAGAGAGAGAGAGAGAGAGAGAGAGAGAGA